CGCTCGGGTAACGGCCCGCGCCCTGTCCCCGGCCCCTCACGCCGGCCTAGGGGAGGGGCGCCTGCCGGGGCTGTGGATCCCGCCCCAGGACAAAGGGGGCGGCCGGCCAAGGGACGCAGAGGGCGCCATGGACAGACACTGGCCGGATGCCGCTCGCTGGCACCCAGGAATAAAGTCGCTGCGCAGTGTGCCCGCCCGTCCGGCGCTCTCCTTGCCTCGGGCGCCTCGGACCTACCTGCCCGGCCCGCGGGGAGGGACCTGGGCTTCCTCGTCCCTGGCTGTTGGCCCCAGCCGTTTCAGCACCCAGAAGTGCGTGGCTGCAAGGGCCCCGCCGCCCTGGCTATGGTCATCTTCGCTGGGGACCTTCGGTGTCGCTGTCCCAACCCTGGGCGGCCACTTCCCAAGAGCGAACCTCAGGGCTTGGCTCAGGTGGGCGTCGGCCGGGCCCAGAGGGGCGCTGTCCTGGCTCAGCACAGCGCCTGGGGCGGGTGGGGCGCTGCTCCCCGCAGTCCCGGCTCCCCGAGTCCCGCGGCGCAGCGGGGAGCAGCCTGGGGGCCTCAGCGCCCCGCCTCTTAGGCGGGACCTTCTGTGGGGGAGGAGAACGTGCAGGGGGTCGCAGACACCTAGGGAGGGGTTCGTTTATCTTTACAAGTTCAGGGGCCCTGGGAGTCAGGGAGCTCTGCCGCTGTGCTGCTCACACGAGGACACCGAGCGCTCGGCCTGCGGTCGCGGGGGTGGCCGAGGCTGACGCCCTCCTGGGCTCTGCCGGGTGCTGGGCTTCAGCGCCTTGGGCTCAGAGGCTGTGTGTGGCCGACGCCCCACCTGAGGAGTGCAGCTACTGGAGCACCAGCTGTGTCCCACCTGCCAGAGGGTGGTGCGAGGCTGTCCCCAGGCACAGGTGCCAGGGCGGTGTGGGTCCCGCGCTGGCGGGTGGGCCAGGCTGTCCTCTGACAGCAGGGTATGGGGTGTGGGTCCCCCAACAGGAAGGTGCTAGAAAGCCGGAAAGGACACAGCTGGGAGAGGTGGGTGCTCTGCAGTGGGATGGCGCAGCCCAGCCTGGCCCCATGACTCTCGTGGGCCCTGAGCCCAGCCCCAACCCGGCCAGCTGGGCCCTGGCCCAGGTCCGAAGACCGGCAGGTGCTGCTTGGGGCAGGGGCTGCAGCAACAGGAACGCCCACTGCCCGGGGCGCACGTCGCTAGGCCGAATTCCGGCGCTGGGGAGCAGGTCGGGTCAGTTGTGCTGACACAGCGAGCAAGCGCATCCTGAACGCGCTCACAGGAGAGCTGGAAAGCGCAACACGGAGCTCTGAGCCGGCTGAGGGACGTTTCCGGCCAGGAGCCAGAGGTGTCCGCGCCACTCCGGGGCTCGCCCTCGGTTTAGGTACATTTTACTTTTCCATAGTAGCCATTACCTCATGTGTGGGGGTCTCGGAAGAGTGTCACAGTTATCACCAAGTTCACTTCTCCCAGCAGGTCGGACGCCGAATCCCACACGGCCATCGCAGTTCAGCTTTTAGCTCACTTCCCAGTCTGTCCCATCGGTTCCACTCCCTTTCATGACTGCTCTGAGTGGGCTAAGAGCGCTGACCAAGGCGGCTGGGGTCCCCTCCAGCTTAAGTGAACGTTAAGTGACTTCTCTTGCTGTGGGGTTAAAAACAAAATGGAGCCTCTCTTGCCCTATCAGTGCGACCTTGTGACGTCACGCCAGGGAGCTTTAAAAAACAGTCCTGGCCGGACATGGTGGTGCACGCCTGTAATCCCAGCACTTGGGAGGCTGAGGCAGGAGGATCGTTTCGAGTTGGAGACCAGCCTGGGCTACAAAGTGAGCTCAAGGCCAGCCTGAACTGCACAGTGAGACCCTGTCTCAAAAAGACAAAAAAAAAAAAAGGTTGAAAAACAGTCCTGGTTGAGGGCCCTGGAGATGAAACCAACCCGTTTGGAGACTGTGTGATTTTCTGCTCCCAAGCTTGTGTGCGGGTGGGACGGTGCAAGGTCTGGTAGGTGCACACATGCCGGCGCTCCGTGCCTGTGCCCTAGGCCTGGTGCTCACAGCCTGGGGCCCCTGCTGCTCTTCAAAGCCCCCCTCGGCTTTCTTCCTGCTGGTGCGGGGGAAGCAGCCGAGACCCTTGTGAGCTCTTTGCATGGGAGTTAAAAAGCCCAGAGCCAGGCTGTTACAGCCCCACTGAGCCCGACCGCAGGTTGGCGCCAGGAGCCTGCATGTGCTCCGTGAAGCGAGGCCTCTGAGGTGCAGGGAGTGGTGCCAGCCCAGCCGCGAATGACAAGGGGACTGAGAAGTAGTGAAAGTCAAGAGTGCCTGTGGGGTCCATTAGGAACTGCTGCGGGGTGGGGGGGGATGGGCACCGGTGGCGTTGGCGGGAAAGTGATTTACTTGTGGTGCTGGAGATCGGCCCAGGGCCTTCACACTGAGGGATGTCTCCAGACCTTTATTGTTACTGATTTTGAGACAGGGTCTAATAAGTTGCCCAGGCTGAACTCAAATTTGCAGTCCTCCTGCCTCAGCCTCCCGGAGTGCTGGGCTCGTACTGTGCCAGGAAGCCCAGATGGAATATTTATTTTTTTATGTATTTATTTATTTATTTAGAGACAGGGTCTTTCTGTGTAGTTAGGGCGGTCCTGAGCTCACTACGTGGCCCAGGCTGGCCTCAAACTCATGGCAAACCTCCTGCCTCAGCCTGCAGAGTGCTGGGATGACACCATGCCTGGCTTGGAATAACAAACTTTTTAAAAGGAGTGCTGTTGACCAGTCAATAACAGCAGGGAGTGGAGAGGATGATGAATCCAGACATCTGCATCTGCGGAGAGAAATAGGCAGAAACAGGACAGCAGCTCCCGGCCCACCGCCGAGCACGGCGCCTCCTGCAACTCAGGCCGCACTGCCGCTGGGCCACGGCTGCGGACCTACGTTGCCAGCTCCACAGACCAGAAAACCCACAGGTGCTTCGCAGGTTGGGCCTGGACGCCTACCTGTGTCCCGCCCCCCAGGCCAGGGGTTGCCCACAGGTCCTGCCGGGAACCTGGCAGTCGGTTCCCGCAGCTGCAGTGTCCGCTCCCACCCTGCGTGCCCCCCCGGAGGTCAGCTTTCACCCCGGGGTACCGCTGCCTCCCTGCGGCCCCTCTGCCCCCCGAGTCACAGCAGGCCCCACCCTCCCCACTTCCCAGCGAGGGGGCGAGGACAGCGGCCGAGCAGCGTGGCCTGGATATCAACAGCCCCTCGCGGGGGCAGGGTCCCCTGCTAGAGTATCTGGAGACCAGCCCTCCATCCTCAGCACCCTGCTGCGGGCCCAGCAGCGCGGCATCTGTCCCGGGACTGCGTGAGAGTGACTTCTGTCTGTCCTGTGCCCTGCCCCCTCCCCCTCCCGCAGGACCTGCCCTCACGGGGAAGCGCAGGCGTCGCGGCAGAGAGGGCTGGGTGAGCTCCCCGCTGCAGCGCTCGCCTGTGTGGAGAACAAAACACAGAGCCAGGCGTGGGCGCACACCTGCACCCCAGCACTCCAGAGGCTGAGGCAGGAGGTTTTCGGCCAGCCTGGGCTGCACAGTGAGACCCTGTCTCAAAAGCAACTGCAGCGAGACACCATTTGACCCCGTTAGGGTGGCTATGTTTTAAAAAGCTTACAGAGAGGTGGAGAAAAATGAGCTCTAGGTCCTGCTAGTGGGAATTAATGTAAATTACTACAGTCCTTACGGAGAACAGCGTTAGGTTCCTCAAAGACCCACATGGAGCCGCGCGGGCCGGACGCGCCCCTTCCAGTGAGCGTGGAGGAAGGTGCGGTGGGGCCTGCGAGCGCCTCGTCCCAGGCTGGGCCGGGAGCCGCATGCAGGCGGAGAGTGAGTGGGCTGCAGCCCAGGGCAGAGCCGCTGCCCTGTCGAACGGTGACCAGATGGGGCGGGGTCCCGGGAGACGGAGGCGGGGCGGCTGGGGCTGCTGGTGCAGGCTGACGCGCAGCTCCGGCCCGGAGAGCAGCAGAGGTGAGCTCAGTGTGCGCGGGAGGACGGGTGTCCCGGGCCTGAGCGTGCGTCGGGACCGCCTGTACACCCTACAGACTACTGTTCCTCGCCTTCAGAAAAGGCGAAGGCAGGAAGAAATGCTAATGAGATGGTCGCAGTGAGTGTGGACCGCACCGTTCCGTGTTCCTTCCGGTTCCCAGGCCCGGAGGCGGCCGACGTCTTCGGCGCTGTTTTATTTTCTAGCGCAGTGTCCCCCTTTGAAGGTGAAGACACCGCCGCTCACCCCTGCCCCACAACTGTGACCGTCACCGACCAGCCCAGCTGCGGACCGGCTCACGCAGGGAGTGCAGGGGGGCCTGGTCCAGCCCGCACCTCTGTTCTCCAAGAGCCACGAGGCACTGTGACGCTTACCCCACCGCCCCAGCCGTGAGGAGTGGTGTTGCACGCTGCAGTCCTGGCGCTCAAGAGGCTGAGGCAGGAGGATGTGAGCTGGAAACCAGCCCGGACTGCACAGGGAGACCACAGCCGCCGCTGTGGTAACAAAACAACAAAGCCCCCGGGACG